GGTCTTCAATGGGCGAGTCCACTCAATGACTTGTCAGAATTGGAAAGACCTTTTCTCACAGTGAAGAGGAGGAAAGGAAGACGGCTACAGGTCAGGAGAGCCAGCTGGGTGACTGGTCAGCAGGTGTTGGGGATGAGCATGACCCAGGAGAAAGGGAGAGTTGTTCCCCCGAGCAGAGCACCAGCATAGCTCAGCACGGTTACGTGCAGAAGAAACCTCTCAGCTGATTGGCCCCCAATCAACTGAAAGAACTGAAGTCTGTAAGTTAAACTTTTCCATGACCTTGACACTAATTCTGAGTCCACCTCCATTAAAAGAGGAATGGTTGTTGTTAAGGCCCCTTCACATAACCCAGAAAACGGCCTCTGCAGAAAAAGCAAATTCCTCATGGACTTGCCAAATGCCACCTGGTTCTAAGAAGCCATGAGAGGCCACTGCTATAATGTTCTTAAGGAGGAAATAAGGACACGTTCTACATCCTACCATGGTAAGTAGCATCTGGGATCTTCAAAGCTCATGAGTGGCCATCTAAGGTGCAGCTATTGGTCTCTCCATGGGTGGAAGAAAGAAGAGTGATGCAAGCTGAAGATGCTTGGAATCAACTGTTCCAATGGACTAACAGAACACGTGAACATCAGTTTTCATGACTCTGACACCACAAGTAGCTGGTGCTCAGTTCCCACCACCCACTGCTCTGAAAGGGATATTAGAATGTCCCAGATACAATGGGAGGAAATATGGAACAAAACTCAAAATTACAAAACAGAGTAGACTAACATGCCAGAAAGAAACAGGGGGAACCCAAGACCATGGCCCTCAAGCACCCTTCAGGTCTAGAAAAGACCTCCCTCTCATGCCTCAATTTTCAGCTAGGCACTGTATAGGAGGACAACATGGAATGGTGGTCAGTCATTTATAATCAAAAGGAGAACATTTACCTAAGGACAGAGTGGAGAAGGGATGGGAAGGAGGGTAGACTGGAGCTAGGAAGCACAGGGAGGAAGCAGGCCAACTGTTGTTTCATGGAGGAGACTGCAATCATGTTGATGAAACAAAGTGTGTGATGTGTTGAATGTTAAACTGATGATCTTGTCTGTAAACATTCACGCAATTCACAACAATTTAAAAAAACAAACAAAACAGAATGCCTTGAAAAGGACTGATAATAGTGACTATTTTCTAAGTGCTAACTCTATGGGAGTCCCTGGGTGGTACAGTTAGCACACTTGAGTATTAACCAAAAGATTCGTGGGTTAGGGCCATTCAGCAGTACCGTGGAAGAAACGCCTGGTGCTCTACTTCTGGAAAACCAGCCACTGAAAGCCTTACAGAGCACAGTTCTGCTCTGACATCAAGGTTCCTCTGAGCCAGGATTGACTTGACAACAAGTTGTTTTTTACTCACTTAAGCACTTGACTTCAAAGTTAGTTTGAACCACAAGGTTGGCAGTTCAAACTCACTCGCCGCTCCTCGGAAACCCCATACAAGGTTGATGAGTCAGAACCAACTCAATGTCACTTAACAGCAATATGCCAAAGGGCTGATTTAAGAACTACATAAATAAACAATTTGCCCCAAACACTTGTAGTTAAATGGTACAATTAAAGCTAAATGCAAGCAGTCTGAAATCCACTAAACTAACAAAATAAAAATTAGTAAATGTCCCAATGATAAACAATTTAAAATAAAAGGACACGTTTAACATTATGGATTTGTTTCAATTAAAAAAATTAATAGGTACAAACTTACCAAATTCATGCATTCAATAAGATACATTCTAACATGGACCAAAGAGTACAGACTTCAGAAAGTGTGATATCGAGAATGCTTACCAAAAGTAGCATTTTTGAAAAGTGAAAGATCAGTGACAATGAAGACAAGGCAGTGGCATTTGGAGGCTGAAAGCAATTCGATTTATTTCACTTTGAAGAACAAAAGCTTATTCTTCTAAGAAGAAATCAAAAACATTTTCTGTGGAAAAAAGAAACCATTTTCACTGCATCGCCAAAATAAATCAGTGAGAGGGCAAGTCAAACCTAGCTACAGAAGAGCACACAGGCCAAAACAGCGGAGGTCAGGGAAGGGGAGGAGCAGAGGCTACATAAAGAAATTTTGTTGAGAGAGAGAGAGAGAAATCAGGCCCCGTCTTGACAGCATTCTATTCCACAGTAAAACAAGGCATTCAGATAAACAGCAATTTGAGCATCTTTCAGGAAACAATACATAATAGAGATTTATAAAATCTTACATATCAGAGTCTACATGACACTAACATTCCAGATTGACTGGAGTAATACATTCTATCACAAATCTCCCCAGTTCAGAACCAGAGAGCATTTCCAAAGAAACCTGGGTGGAAAATCGAGTTATATTAAATACCCAAACATGCTCTGTATTAGTATGAGAAACACGTGAAAACTTGCTAGAAGATTTCTAATGAATACGTAAGTTTGCTTTGTTTTTTTCTGAATCAAGGAATCTTCCCTTTCCTCCTTTTTCAGAGTTCACTCTGTTGAGATAACCAGACATTGTCACCTAGCAGGTTATAAGGAAGAGTTGACTGGAAAAGAATCAATGCTTTTGAATTATGGTGGAGACGAGTGAAAGCACCAGGGACTGCCAGAAAAAGGAACAAATCTGTGTTGAAAGAAGTACATTCAGAATTCTCCTCAGAAATAAGGTGGCTGGAGTTTGGAAACAAACTTTCGAGTTGGTATTAGGAGGGACCAGTCCCTGGAGCAGGAAGAACATCATTCTTGGTAAAGTAAAGGGTTAGCAAAAGAGAGGAAGACTCTGAACACGAGGGATTGACACCATGGCTGCAGCAATGGGTTCACATACAGCAACAATTGTGAGCAGGTGCAGGACTGAGCAGTGTTTCGTTCTCTTGTACATGCATGGAGTCACTATGAGTCACAACTGACATCATAGCACTGAACAACGTTGCCAATAGCTATGCACTCAGCGGGTCATAAAGCTGGAGACTTGAGTCAATACACAAGCACCTGGGAAGAAACACCTGTCAGTTTACTGTGTAAAAAGTCAGCTACTGAAAACCCTGTGGAGCACAGTTCTTTTCTGAAACTCAAGGTGGCCATGAGTCAAAATTTTTGTGGTGCTGCTGGCTAATGTGCTGGACTGCACAATCAGCGGTTTAAGCCCACCAGCTGCTACTAGGAAACACTACACAGGGTGACTATGGGTTGGAACGGACTCAACATCACTTAACAATAACAATTCGGCTTCTGGTGTAGCACTGTAGGATCAGCACTGGATTGTGAGCCACAAGGTCGGCAGTTCAAACGCACTAGCCACTCCTTGAAAAGCCTATACAAGGTAGCTATGAGTTGGAACCCACTCAATGGGCATTTAACAATAACAACATTAGACTTCTAAAGTCAAGAGGTGGGGCCAGATTTTCCCGGAGGCAAGACTGCAAGAACCAGCGCTGGGTTCCACTCGTAGGTATAATAGCAGTGACACAAACTGCTCACGGCAGCAGAGTACTGGAAACAATCAAAATGTCCATCCACTGAGAAGCCACCCAACAGAATATTACTCACCCTAAAGAGGAATAAAGTCCCGATACATGCTACAACACAGAGAGAACCAGAAGACATTATATTGGGAGAAATAAGTCATATGCAACAGAAACAATATTGCATGCTCTCAGTCATGTGAAATAAGCAAATATATGGGAACCAGCGTGCTTAGTGGTTACCAGGGGGAGGAAGGTTTTGTTTAGACTGCACTGTATATACCAATGCTGGTGGGATCATTTGGGAAAAGAGAGCAAAAAAGCTTGCACAGCGTCAAGAATGTAATCAACGTCATTAAAGTGCAAGTGAAGTTACTGATGAAATATTGTGCTTTGTTGCATGCAGTGGCTTCAGGAAAGTTTGTGTAAATCTTCCATTATCCTTCAATTCCATTTTCCACCAACTTTTTGAAGTCCCCTTGTATTGTCATTATAATATGTGGGGAAGGGGGACTTCAAAAGTTCATGGAAATTTTCCACAAACATTCTTAAGTCCCCTCATATATATATGTACATTTTAAAGGAAAGAACTAGCACAGGGAGGCTAGCAGAGGCCCTGGGGCTCACAGCATTCAGGAGCACAAGTCTTTGAGACTACTCTAGAGCCCACAGGTTATGAGAAGCCACATCTCACCCAGAAGGCCTCCTCCCTCCCAACTCAGCCCCACCAATCAGACAGGAATCCACACACCCTGCTCAATAGATTGTTGTTGCTGTGAGGTGCCATGGAGTCGGTTCCAACTCATAGTGATTCTATGAGGGTTTCCCAGGCTGTGAATCTTTACAGGAACAGAGAGCCTCATCTTTCTCCCATGGAGAGCCCAGTAGATTCGAAATACTTGCTCTAGCCTCTTTCAAATCACAGCTTACCTAGAATTGATGACCCGATCATATTTCATAATGAGCTGCCAACATTTAAAAACCTGTAGTGATTTCCCATTTAAAAATCTGGAATTAAAAGCCGTTTTTTGGGTAAGATCTAGTCACTACTTGGTGCTTTCTCCCCTGTGGGAATGGAAACCCAGTGGAAGGGTAGGGTGATTTCAAGTTTGCCACAATGCCCACCACTCCATATTGCCTCATACATAACCCTGCCTTCTCATTATGATAATGCATGATCATCATGTGTTATATGATAGTGCAGGCAAAACCCGGGGAGGCACCCACCACTCCATATTGCCTCATACATAACCCTGTCTCCTCATTATGATAATGCATGATCATCATGTGTTATATGATAGTGCAGGCAAAGCCCAGGGAGGCATCCAAGTTCATGGTCTCTTTGCAAGCAGCTCTGGAAAGAGAAGCAGTAGTGTTTTGTCTCCTGCCATCCTACCTGTTCCAGGTGAGCTTGATTTCCCTGTTCAATGTCACTCCAATACTACCACAGACACTGGGGAGGTTCTCAGTACGTGAGTTCATCCACCAGCCCACCCACGATGCCCTCCAAATGACTCACCTGCTACTCGGTGCCACTCCGTTCTCTCTTCACAGGGGTCACAGGTACATCCCCATTCACACTTTCAATCCCACTAATGGACATCAAACTCCGCCGCTCCTTCGGATTGGACTTGTGTTCCACTTTTGTAACTCTAAACCTGGAGGAGGCAACATGATACTTGATGAGTTTTGTTTTTCCAAGAAACAAGAGTTATGAGAGATTTAAAAAATCATGCATCGTGACTAACTGTGATTGTCACACTAAACGTTTTGTAACATAAATGGGGGAGTAGTTAACCTAACATTCCAGGAACAGAGGACTCTAAGACCCTCAAGGGAGAAGAGCAAGAGCAGAATGTGGGACCCTGTCCAGAGAAGCAGGGACAACAGAGATGGAGGCAGAGATGAAGACGTGGAGAGACAGAGCAGCTGAGGACTCCAAACTCTCGGAAAGAGAAAGGCTGTGTGCTAATGCCCAGAAGGCAGGCTTGCAGAATGTGCCCTTGGGGTGTTTAAATGAATATATATTCCTGAACAGTTTTTGTGTACAAAAAAAAAAAAAACACCAGAGGGAATAGAATCAAATACTGTTGAACAATGATGCATGGAGGGGACTATAATCATTGCAATGAAACAAAATACGATAGGATAAGTGCAAAACTACTGTTCTCCTACGTAAACTATCACTCAATGCAAAATAAAATCTTAAAAAAAACTATCACTCAATGCATAATAAAAGCTTAAGAAAAAAAATTCATGCATCTAGAGAAACCAAAACTCAAAGTTAAGATAGAAAAAAAAATTGCTATAGTCACTAAGAAGGGCATTCCTGCCCAGGAAATTGGTGCCCTGCCAAACATTCCAGCTAGTTTTATACATGACCACACCACAGACTTTGCTAGACATCTTAACAATTAGAAAAAATACACAAAAATGTTCAGGTACTTAAATATTAAACAGCCTCAGAGTTGTGGTTTCATACAATGATCTGGGGTTTAGCATTGGTTTCCTTAACTACCGAAGGCTGAGGAGAAGAAGGATTTATAAATTAAACTGATCTAATTCCTAAACACTTTAATTGTGCTCAAGAGGAATCTGTATGTACCTGGACCAAGAAGCAGTTATTCGAACAGAACATGGGAACACGGAATGGTTTAAAATTAAGAAAGGTGTGTGGCAGGATTGTATTCGTATTCTTTCACCATAATTATTCAACCTGTATGCTGAGCAAATAATACAAGAAGCTGGGTTCTATGAAGAAAAATGTGGCATCAGGATTGGAGGAAAATTCATTAACCACCTGCGATATGCAGATGACACAACCTTGCTTGCTGAAAGTGAAGAAGACTTAAAATATTTACTGATGAAGATCAAAGACGACAGCCTTCGGTATGGATTGCATCTCAATGTGAAGA